TGCCTGATACCTGGCCAGAGGTCCAAAGAAAGGGTCGCAAGTCCCAGGGACCCCTGGGAAAGAGCCATGGTGCTGACTGCCCCAGTGTTTGTACTGGAGAGCAGAAGCCACAGCCCTGCCCCTGGAAGATAGCGGGCTGTGGTTGCCCATCATCTTATCGCCGCCCGTCCTGGAGATAGGGCAGCGGCCGTGCCCGGGCCGTGGGCTTGCTGCCACCACCACTATCCTTTTTCCAAACTCCCTACCCCCTTCCTAGAAGAAAGATTGTAGGTCCCCAGGGTGCTTGGAGGAGCGTGAGTAATGCCATGGTCTGTCTGAGAAGATGCGCATCCCATTGAGTCCCTAGGTGGGCAGGGATTCTCCCCAGTAAAAACCCCCAATGGGCAAAACGGGGCTCCCAGTGACCTTTGCCTCTGCCACCCCTGCCCCACCACCCTGTGGTGGTCTCATCTGGGGGCCGTTCCCTGGTTGACCCTCCGAGGCGATGTCACAGCCCTCGGCCCCTGAGCATGTTTCTCCTTCTCTGCCACAGGCAGTACATCAAGGCCTGCAAGACGGGCAACATGGACCAGGCCCTGTCCCTGTGGTTTCTCCTGGGCTGGATTGGTGGAGACTCCTGCAACCTCATCGGCTCTTTCCTTGCTGACCAGCTGCCCCTGCAGGTGGGCCGGCCCCGGGCAGGGTGGGCTGTCTAGGATAGCATGGCAGAGGCGTTGGGGGCACCCACAGGAGTGGCTCGGGCTCCAGAATCCTGACCTGTTGTTCCATCTTATGAGGGCCCCGTGCTGCAGAGACAGCCCTGGGCCCTGCCACACAGTATGGCAATGGGCTGGTCACTGTCCTTCTCTGGGCCTCAGTTTCCCATCTGTAAAATGACCGCATCAAACCAGAGCAACACCAGAGCCTTGAACCTCTGGGATGCTCTGATCCTGATGGACCTGGGGTGGGGAGGGCTGGAGGAGGAAAGTTTTCCCCAGAGAGGCCCAGGAGCCATCACTTGGTCCTGAGAAGGGGAGCTAGCCCCCCGTCCCTCCATCTGCCCGGGTCCAACACTTAGCCCACCTGCTCTCTAGTTGTGCCAGGTAGGAACTGCGCTCCCGCTTTCCAGGTGAGCAGCCAGAGCTCAGGGAGGTGACGCGACTTGCTCAGGGTCACCCGGCTGGGGTGTGAGAGTGCTGCCCAGTGTCGGGGTGCGGTCCCCAGAGCCTGGGACTGAGCCAGCGCCCCTGCTTCTCTTGCAGACCTACACGGCGGTGTATTACGTCCTGGCAGACCTGGTGATGCTGTCCCTCTACTTTCACTACAAGTTTAAGAATCGCCCCTCTCCGTGTGAGTATGGTGGTCCCTCCGTGTCGGGCATGCTAGGGGCAGCCGGGAGTGTGAGAGGAAGCAGCTGTCCTATTGCCGGGTGATAACCCTCCCAAAGGCTTCCTCAGGCCTTATCTGCAAGCCCGAGCCCTGATCGGCCAAGATAGGGGCCAAGGGCAATGAGCACATCCGGCAGGACCACAGGGCTCCCCTTCACTCAAACTCCTATTCAACAAACATGGCTTCAGCTTCTCCTCTGTGCCTGGCCCTGGGCTTGGAGCGGGGAAAAGGCACAGGGCTCACAGGCCATCGCTGCCTCTGAGGACTCAGAGGAGGCCATAGCCGAGGTCAGAGCGAGGGCTGTGAGATGCGGCCCGAGGCACTGCTTTTGATTAACCCTCCCCACCCCCCCTTGGACCCTACTGCAGTCGTCTTAATTTTACAACTCCAGGGGAAGGTTAGTGTTATTGTGCCCATTCTACAGATGAGGAGTTAAAGCTCAGAGGGGTTCGGTCACTTGCCCAAGGTCACACAGCCACCGAGGGGCAAGGCCATGACTCCGATCCGTTTGCTGCCACTCAGATATCTAACTTCGGCTTCCCTCCTGCCTCATGTCTAGTGTCTGCCCCCATCAACTCCTTGCTCTTGTTCACCCTGGGACTGGTGTGTGCCACCCCGCTGCTGAGCAGCACTGCCTCTATGGCTGCCCCGAGGGAGGGCTTCCAGGGCCGGAAGCTCCTGTCTGTGGAGCCGGGCAATAAGGTGAGGTGTGGGTACGGCGTGGTAGAGCGGAGGGGGGAGGCTGGCCTCAAGGGCCCTCCCTGCAGGGCCACCTGGGCGGGGGTTGCCCCCTAGGAGGGAGCTTGGGGATCTCCCTGCCAGGCACTGAGCACTCCCTTCTGCTTTCTCAGCCCTTCACTCGGCAGGAGATCATTGGTTTTGTCATCGGCTCCATCTCCAGCGTACTGTACCTGTTCTCCCGGCTGCCTCAGATCCACACCAACGTGAGCCTTGAGTGGGGTGGGGCCGAGTGGAAGAGAAGAGCTGGCCCGGCAGCGCAGGCCTCTGGGTTTAGGAGTAGCACAGAGCAGGTCTGGGTCTACACTCACTGTTGGCTTGGGCAACTTAGTCCAACTCTCCAAGCCTCGGTTTGTGCCTCTGGAAAATGGGCATGATGATGCCTGCCATCCAGGCATCCGTGTGACCTGTGTGACTCTCAAGTAGGAAGTCAGGTGACAGCGAGGGGCTGCGCTTAGAGGCCTGAGAGGAGAGAAGGTGGAGAATCAGGGATGGGTGGGCAGAGGCAACGAGAGTCAGCGTGGGGCTGGAGAGCAGGGCGTCATGGCAGCAGGCATAGCGCAGCCATAGTCTCCTGTGGACCTGGGCAGGGGCCTGGAGAGGTGGCAGGAGTGAGGATGAGGAGTTAGGCCCTGGAGCGGGTTGTTGGTATCGGACACTGGGCACAGTGTAAAGTCAGATTTTGACTACACGCACAGTGTGATGGGGCAGATGGATACAGGGATAGGCACAACCCAGGGTGACAGGAGCCCTGTTTGAAGTCTCTGACCTCAACCCCCTCACCTCCAGTTCCTGCGGAAGTCGACCCAGGGGATCTCCTACTCGCTGTTCGCCTTGGTGATGCTGGGGAACACACTGTACGGGCTAAGTGTGCTGCTCAAGAACCCCGAGGAGGGCCAGAGCGAGGGCAGCTACGTGCTGCACCACCTGCCCTGGCTCGTGGGCAGCCTGGGCGTGCTGCTGCTCGACGCCATCGTATCCTTCCGAGCCTGCAGGGCAGGTGGGGCGGGGCGGGGCGAGGTGGGCACGGCAGCCCCTGCCTGCTCAGGGCTTCCACATCCACCCAGAGTCAGCCCTGTCTGCCATGCACCCCGCCAGGCACTGGCCCGGTCGTGAGCAAGAACTGGGTGGACTTGCCCCTGGGAGCTTCCAGCTCTGGGGAGGCAGACAGGATGCACTGATTAGAAGTCATTACTTCGTTGCAATGACACTGAGGGCCCCAGAGAAAAACTGCAAGAGTGTGTGACCAGGGGGCTGCCCTGATTTAACCCTTTGCGGTCCAGTTTTATTTTTGGAATTCAAACAGTCTGGTCCAAATTAATTGACGGGGTTGAATGTTGAACCGGTTTGCCGTGTCTCAGCCTCAACGTTGGACCTGCTCCTAGCTCCTGGTCCGTCGAGTCAGCCTCCATGTTGGACCGAAAAGGGTTAAAGGCTCCGCAGAGGCCTCCCGGGTGCCATTTAAACTGCCCTGAAGGAGAGGTTAGTCGGGCAAAGGCAAGAGGGATGTGCCTGGCTCGGCTTGTGCGAAGGCCCCGAGGAACGGGGAGATCGGGCCTTGCAGGCCGGGGAGCGCAAGCTGGAACGTGGAGACACGTGAGTTCGTCACAGTAACGGGCCCAAGTTCTGGCTCTGTTCCTCCATAGCTGTGTGACACGGGGAAACCCTAACCTCTCTGTGCTTCCCTATCTGCATCTGCATGGGGTCGGCGACCGTCGCTGTCTCACCGGGGTCGGGGGCCATACGTAAGGCAAGGGGTCCGGAAGGCTGCGCGGCCCAGCACAGCGAGTGCTCAGTAAATGTTTGCTGAACGGGGAAACGGGGCCTTGTTTGGATCGCATTTGGCAGAAAGTAAGCATGGCCCTTGTTTGCACATCTGCCGAGTCCCCGCTGGCTGCCCGGCGAGCCGTTTACCTCACCTGGAGCCAATATAAAATGATAGTGAATGTCAACAAAAGCAAAGTGTAAGCTCTCCGTGCCTTCAAATGGCCCCAGCCACTGGGTGAAACTCCCAGGATGGTGTAGGGGGCGAGGAAGGCAAGCTCCTGGGGCTGGAGTCAGGGAGGACTGCCTGAGGGAGGAAGACCCTGGCGCTGGGCCTGGAGGAGGAAGTTGGTTGAGGGGTGGGAGGGCATTCAGAGTGGAAGGTGCAGTGAGAGCAGAAGCTGGGGGGTCATTGCCGGCCCCTCCGCCAGCCAGAGTGGGGCTGAGGGGGAGGGAAGAGGGAGCTCTGGGTGGAGCCACCAGTCCCCAGGGGCAGGCCCGGCCCATCTGTGCTTGGTCAGGCCTTGACGTGGACCCCTCCAGATCTCCATCCAGTTCCTGGTGTACAGGAACGCCGCCTCCTCCGCAGAGCACCAGCCCCTCCTCCCCGGCTGACCAGGACCCAGGCCAAGCCCAGGTGACCAGGACCGCCAGCTACCACTCAGGAAGAGAGAGGTGTGGGCAGTCAGTGCCGAGGACCCTGGACGAGGCTGTGGAGGAAGCCAGGGTCGGGGGCCTGGTCCTCCTGACCCAGCTCCTACCCTCAGGCCTCCTGGGCTGACTCTTCCAGGAGCCAGACGGCCCCAAGGGCCAGCCAGCCCCTCCCACTGGGAGCTCATCCCCCAGGGCCTGAGGCAGCTGCCCTGGGAGCTTTGGTGGAGGGGCTGCAGCGGGGCTCACCCCTGAAAAGGCAGTGCAGCTGCCCCTCGCTCACCTACCTCATTGTGCGCCTCCCCCGGGGAGTGCCCGCCGGGGCCTGGTACCCAGACTGTCCTGCGGCCTGCAGCCAGCCCAGTAAACCGTGCTTCCCAGCGAGGCCTGTTCTGTTGCTCCTTCCCAAGGTGCTGGGGTCGGGGCTGCTGTGAACAGCAGTGGAGGGAGATCTGGGCCCCAGCTTCCAGGGCCAGAGGATCAGCTGTGGGGGAGCCAAGCAGGAGGGGATCGAGTCTGCCTGATCACCCCCCGGTGGCCTCTCGTTTCTTCAGCCTGCTTCTCAGTGACAGGCTCCACGCCTGGGGGTGGGGACCAGCACCGGGGTCCCTGACCTCAGGGCTCAGGAGGAAGCACAGCAGTTAAGGTTCAGATCTTGGTTCTGCATCTTAGCTTTTCTGGGCCTCGATGACTTTGAACTGTGAAATGGGATGACAGTATTACCGCTTCGTACGTCCTTATGAGACGGTGTCATTAGGGAGGTTAGCCCAAAGTCGGGCGCGTAGTAAGAGTTCAGTACAGGTTAGCTTTGATCATGTTTAGTTGGAGGACAGGGACAACCAGATCTCCCCAGAGATCCGAGAGACCTTCCTGGAGGAGGCGGCATGGCAGAAGAATGAGCAGGGGATACACGGGGAAAGGTGGGAGTGTTGCTGGCCAGAGGAAAAGAAGGTGCAAGAGCGGGTGGGAAGGGAGGAGAGGGAGGCAGGGCTCGGTTTGTCTCCCAGATTCTGTTCTGAGTCCACTTCCTTGTTGGCAGCAGCCCTGTGGGCACCTGAGAACAGGCCAGCTTCCCTCTGCCCTTGCTCTCACATCCTGCCTCAGGTTCCCAGGTGGTGGGAGCCACCCGGGTGGGCTGGGGTGGAGGCCGACTCTCAGCCTTTCTTTTGGAATCTTCCTCTTCCAGCCCCAAAGAAAGCAAGGAGCTGAGCAAGGGGACACAGCCTCCCGGGGAAGGGGGGGGCGGTGCCGCGGCCCAATCTGGTGCTACAGATGTTTGCGCAGCACAGTTCTCCACCCTCGGCCCTTGCTGTGGTCGAAGTCTGGGATGGGGGTGAACCAGCTCTGGTCCCTGCCAGTTGAAAGGGCAGAACTTGCCAGCCCTCCCTGGCGGGAAGGGGTGTTACCAGAAGGTACAAAGTGCCACCGGAATGAGGAGACTCAACCAGGGAAGGCTTCATGGCGGAGTGGCCTGGAGCTGAATGTTGAAGGCAGAGGGAAGGGCATGGACAAAGGCCTGGAGTGGGAGTCCGGGCTGCTCCCTAGGTGGGTTGTGGGGGCAGGCAGTGGAGTGGCTCACAGCGGGAGGCTGGGTTTGGCTGGGGGAAGAGAAGGAGGGGGCTGGAGCGACCAGGGACAGGGCACCTCTGAGGTTCAGGTGGGCAGTGAGGGCCGTCTCCCCCAGCCCTGTCCTGGGGCAGGTCTGCGAAGCCGTGTGTAACCTGGCACGCGACTGCCGTTTATTGAGCACTTGCTGTGGGGGGGCCTCTCGCATTATGATGGCCATTTAACAGAACCAGGCTTTGAGGAATTAAGCCACTTGCCTGAGGTCGCCTGGCAGCTGTTTGAACCACATCAGGTCCCTCAGCTACAGGGGTCATCCCACCCCTGGCGCCTTCCCTCTCCCTGGCTAGGGCCTCAGGGGTCCAGCCTCAGCCTTGCCCTGGCCTGGGAGTGGGGTGAGGCGGGAGAGGCAGTCAACCCTGCTGGGCTCAGGCCCCTCTCCCACCATTCTAAGCAGTGACTTCCACAGCCTCTGGTCTGTGCAGTGGAAGGTGCCCCAGGCCCAGCTGGCTCTGCGCGCCCCCACCCTCCCTCAGGGCTGTGACCTGGCTGGGGG